GTGTCTGTGGTTTTCTAGGCAGGGCATCAGTTTGGCCTTGCAATTAATTGAGATTGATATTCACCTTCCTCCCTCCCCTACTGTCCATTTTAGTGAGGTTTTGGTCATATTAATATTATTAACACGAATGTGTTAATTATTGTTAATGATAGGTGAAATTATTAACTAAAAATGAAGTTATTAACATGAATTCTTTTTAAAAATTTACCTTTGCTTTCAGTTTTTTATTTTCTTCTACAATAGCTTCATATTTCTCTTTCATTTCTGCCAATTCTAGACGAAGCAGCTCTATTTCTGGATTTTCTGGGGTAGCAGCTCCTAAGTGATGCTTTAAAAAACTAATCTCAAAGTTAAGAATTTACTTGAGCTGAATGACAGTAATGAAATAGCCCGGAGTAGCATCTCTGATCAGAGTCACCCCATCCCACCACCCATTTTTACCCAGAGATCATCACCCAAAAACTCAAAGGAAAGTAACTTTTTTTTCTTAATCAAAAGTATTTTAAAGGTTATCTATGTGAAAAAAATGAGAATTCTAAAAATAAGGCCTTTTTCTGACTTGAAAGATGAAAAGGATACTCCAAAGCACTATTAGGTTTCTCTGGTTCTTCATATAAGGCTACCAATACTGCAAATCAAAAAGCAGAGAAAGCAACAATTAAAAGTCTGAAATTTGAATGGCTGACATTATAGTCTATAACTCAGGATATATTAAGTGCCTATTATATGTCAAGCACACTGCCAGGCCTATCCATACCATGGTGAGTAAGACAGACAAGGTCCCCGCTCTCAATGAATTTACAGTCTAGTGCAAAAGGTAAGCAAGGAACTAGACACAGAAAGAGAATCAAGGAACAATCAGGATAACGGGTTATAGGAGCACATTGGAAGAACACCTAACTCTAGGGTACAAGGGAAGGCTTCCTAAAATAAGGGAACTAAGATCTGAGATCTAGGTGATGAGGACTGCAGATAAAATGGCAAGGGCAGGGGGCAAGCAAACATATGGAGGAACTGAAATAAAGTGTGGCTAGATGGAGTTGCGAACAATGTGGCAGGAGTATCCACTGTAATTGATTTGCTGAAGAAACTAGAAGGGAGTAGGGGGCAGACTAGGGAAGATCCTGCAAGTTCGGTTGGACTTTGATTCTAAGAACAGGCACATAAACATTTTAAGCAGTAGGGTAACAGGATCACTACTGCTGTATGGAAAATCAGCAAGTGGGACAAGAATAAAAGCAGGAAGAACAGTTAACAAGCTGATGTGGTAATCCTGCTGACAAAGATAGCCAACTGCACTAGAGTAATAGAGAGGTGGAAAGAAAGTAGATCAATTTGAGAAAAATTTTGGAATATCAACATGGCTATGGAATTCAAAATGTTCTTCAAGAATAAAGTTTTCATACATAACATGCTAAATAACCACCATCCAAAAACTTTACCAGTAATCAACATTAAAATATGATACTTTAGTGTTCCAATAGCTCATATCAGTACTACCTTGCTCATCTTCTATTGAACAAATTCCTACTAGGATTTACTACTCAGCTAAAAATCTCTCTAAACCTGTGATTAACATTTTTGTGCATGGAACCCTTTGAAAAGTCTGATAAAAGCCCCCCCCCCCAAAAAAAATGTAACTACACACACACAAAAATGTGCATATCTAGACCCCAAGTTAACAACTCCTGTTGTAAACCAACTTACATACTTCCCTTTTATTTTTTAGTTTTAATTACTCATCAAAATAAGATAGTATGGGAAAACTCAAATGGGCAACTACTTTGAGTTCTGATAGTTACTCTTCATCTCTCTAAATATACTTACATTATTTTTTGAGAAATTGATATATTTAACATCACAACTACCCTCTCCTCAGCCTGCCTTGTAATGTTACAGTACTCTTTAATTACTCTACTTACTCTCTTTTCCTTTAAATTATATACTCAAACTTGTTTCTTCCATTAATTTCCACTCATCTCTACTGAGTCCTAATTTTATAAAACGTGAATATTTTTATCCTTTCTTCCTCTTCTTTTATCCCATTTCTTTCAACTTTTAAATTTGTCAGTGGTACTTAAAAGGTTGGTAATTACATAACATAATGTAAATGTCAAGTTATTTTCTTTTCTATAGATAGAATATACTTCCTTTTAATCAGATAAGAAAAACACTATACCTAATGATCCCCTTTTTGCCTTAGCAGCCAGGATTTTTAGAGGTTGATACAGGCTCAAAATAACTCTTAAATGCCTCTTCTTCCTAATTTATCATCTTTTATCTTTAGCCATCCTGTCTTTTTAGTGTTTTAATGTTAGAAGCAGTTTCAAATCCTCTTGGAAATAAAGCTAGATAAAAATTAGAAGTTAAATCTATGTAAAGTACCTATGTTTGATGCTGAAAATCAAATTTGAAATAGATCACATCAGTAGATATTATGTTACCTGATGTTATTTAGGGAAATGGAAATGTAGGGAGGTGGTGAGGGGTTAGATACCAGTAGATGTGAGCAAGGGAAAAGAAGCCACCAATCGTTTCTAATCTCTCATGAAGGAAAATCATGTATGGCCACAAAGCTGTACATCTTCAGTCACCTTCCACCAGGGTCACTTCTCTGGCCTTTACCATTCTACTTTTCACTCCCTCCATCCATGCACTTGGGCCTCTTTACACTTCCTGGAACTCTGGACAGCAGATACTATTTCATTCAGGTCTCTGCTCAAATGTTACTACTTAAGAGTCCTCCCCCCACCACCACCCACCCTACATAAGATGCCACACCTATCCCTCCTTTATCCCCTATTTTGCTATGTCTTAATACCACTGCCTGACACTATGTATTAATTATGTCTTCCCCCAACTAGGATATAAGCTCATTTAGAGCAGGGAGTGTGGTGTGTTTTTTTCCACTACTGTATCCCCATTTAATCTGAATAAAATGATTAAATGAAAGAAAGAAATGAACTTGTGTAGTTTTTTTGTTTTGTTTTTTTGTGTGTGTGGTTTTTTTTGGGGGGGGGGGGGGCCTCCAAGAATCTGTAACGCTTCCAGAAACAAGCCTTTCATAGAGTAGTTCCTTAATGTTTGCAAAGAGGCAGGGAAACGAGTACCTGAACCCCGCCCAAGGTAAGTAGGAAATCAAAATTATCAATCCATACTCGAGAATTAAAAGCCCTACTTTCTGCTAAGCCAGAGTTATTCTTCCCTTCCAATTTGCTCCTAATCTTTGTTTCTGGCCAAAGAGCGGTAACCAAATTATTTCCCAGACACTTACTGTTCTTCTCATTTAGACCTAGGTCCTCATCCTGCCAGCTCTTATACATCCTTGACCGGGAGTTAAGTGATACGTAATAGGCATTAAAATTACTGCTAACGAAATAAGCAGGACCCCAACCAACTCGAAACCCTCAGCTTCAAGCACCCTCACTTAGATCTTGAACCCCGGAGGAAGAGACACAGTGTAACCGCTTCTCATTTAAAAAGTGAAAACAATACCACTGTAATTCTACTTTAATTGTGAAATCTGCAGTGTAGAAACTAATATGGACTACGAAACGGGGGTTGAAAAGCTTAACTGACTGAATCGCCTGCTTCGGGGATTAGGCTCACTTAGCTACTTCGTAGCGCACTTCAAATCTGGAAATTTTCCAGCTTGGTTCGAGGTTAAATGTTTCTTAACAGGATTGCAGGGCGCCCCAGAAACCGTCAGGCGGGAGGAACTGGGATCTCAAGGTCTGTAGCAAACATGCCCACTGCGGCTGCTCGAGGCAAAGCAACGGAAGTTGAAGAGACTTTTTGCAACAGCTGCAAGAGTTTCACTCCCGGCCGGGGGAGAGGCGGCGTGCGCCAG